TCCTTGCAAGAGCATCTTCGGTACGACCAGACCAACAGGTTGACATGTTCACCGCGGGATTAGTGGAAACCTTGAGGGTGGATGTGGAGATGCAAAATCCCCCCAATCTGGTTACTGCTATGAATTTGGCTTGAGCTTTTGAATAAAAATTGCAACTCAACCGCGGAAGTATCATTATAGGGCGGCCTCAAACAACATGGGCAGCCCAGAAACCACTCGGAATGGCTCCATCTTCAACAGCTAGCCGAGAACAGAAACCACAGACAAGCAACAATTCCAGATCGGCATCCAGTGTGGGAAGCAACGTTGTTACACCCCCTATTAAGCGCTTGTCCAGGGCTGAGATGGCGGAACACAGGGCGAGGGGACAATGTTTTAATTGTGATGAACTGTACTCAGCAGGGCACAAGTGCAAGAGACTTTTTTGCCTCTTGGTGGATGAACAAGAGGAAGATGAGGATGAACCCTCTTCATTGGAACCCAAGATTTCTCTCCATGCAATTACTAGAATAAAAACCTCTCAAACTATGCAATTGCAAGCGCGGGTAGCAGGGAAACCAATACTGATCCTTGTTGATTCAGGAAGCACACACAACTTTGTAAGTGAACAAGCTACCCTCCAGTTGGAATTGCCAATGGAAATCAAACCGAGGCTGCAGGTAGCCGTAGCAAATGGTGAAAGAGTACACAGCCCGTGCATCTGTAAGGGAGTCCAAATACAGGTCAATTCTGAATCCTTCTTTGCTGATTTGCTTGTGCTATCCTTGGATGGATTTGATGTAGTTCTTGGGATGAAATGGTTGATCACTCTAGGCCCAATCCTATGGGATTTCAACGCCCCAACGATGACCTTCCACTTGAATGGAAAGCAAGTCACTTGGCAAGGTATGAAGGCCTCTATTATGGACTTTATACAAAACTGCTCTATTTGTCAACAACACAAATGGGAAAATCTGCATCCAGCTGGTCTTCTTCAGCCCCTTTCGATCCCAACGCAGATATGGGTTGATATTTCCATGGATTTCATAGAGGGACTGCCCAAGGTTGGGGGAAAATCAGTTCTTTATGTAGTGGTGGATTGCTTCTCTAAGTACGCTCATTTCATCCCTCTTTCTCATCCGTACAGCGCTACTTCTGTCGCCCATGTCTTTTTCACTCACATTTTTCGTTTACACGGGTTACCAGAATCTATTGCCAGCGACAGGGACCCGGTTTTTACTAGTACCTTTTGGAGGGATTTGTTTCAGTTAAATGGTACCACCTTAGCTTTTTCTTCCGCTTATCATCCTCAATCAAATGGTCAAACTGAGGTGGTGAAATGAACGATTGAGATGTATCTCCGTTGCTTTGTTGGGGATCAACCGAGACGGTGGGTTGATTGGCTTCCTTGGGCCGAGTATTGTTATAACACTGCCTATCATTCTTCTTTAGGAATGACACCCTTCCGAGTTGTCTATGGTCGTGAACCTCCTCGTTTGTTGTCCTATGAACCTGGTTCTACTCGTTTGGAGGAGATTGATCGTTCCTTACAAGAGCGAGATGCTCTTTTGGCTGAAATTTCTCTTCGTTTACAACAGGCACAACTCGCATGAAGCAAGCCTATGACAAGCATCATCGGGAATTGTCGTTTGAACCTAGGCAGTTTGTTTGGGTGAAACTTCAGCCTTATCGTCAGCGCTCTTTGAGTCACAGGGCTGTTCCTAAATTAGCTCTTAAGTTCTATGGGCCTCTCAAGGTTTTGTAGTGAATTGGTGAGGTTGCATATAAGCTGGAACTTCCAGAGCACAGTAGGATTCATGATGTTTTCCACATTTCCTTGCTCAAGCCGTTTAAGGGTATTCCTCCTATCATTGTTCCCTCCTTACCACCTTTGAAGGAGGGCAAAATCATTCCTCAACCTCAGTCTATTGTTCGTTCCAGAATTAATCGAGGTGTTGTTGAAGTTCTGGTGGAATGGGCCAGCTTACCATTGGCTGAAATTACCTTGATTCCATTGCTTGTGTTTCAGGACACCTATCTTGAATTCGAGCTTGAGGACAAGCTCTTAGTCCAGGAGGGGAGTAATGTTGTGGATGCTTTTATTGGAAAGAAATACAGCCGCAAACAACAGCAGTAATGGGCGTTACATTCAGTGTTTCTATCTTATCTCTTAGCTAAATTCACTGTTCCTATCTTTATCTCTTAGCTAAATTCAGTGTTCCTATTAATTAGGCAGTAGCATTGTTATTTCCTATTTAAAGATAAATGTTTGTTATGAAGTTTTCCTAAAGAAGGACTCTTACCTTCTTGTAATTTCCTATTTAAAGGAACAGATGATATTCAATAAGATTATCGATATTTTCAGTCAAGAAAGAGCAGAGGAGAGTTGGTGATCTCTTTAACAAATCACCATTAAGGCGCTAAAGATAGGTTCCTCGAAAAAAGGGAGAAACAAGGGAAAACAAGAAGTTTTCCCCGTTAACCGACCTGTGACGAGATCCTATTCGCGGGCCCTTAATACTATCAACCAAGTGAAAAATCAAATCACCCAATGAGTTCTTGCTTGGGTGATTTGGTTTTGATGTGTTCACAAGGTCATAACACTTACTTGCTATAGTCCAATAAAACACAAACATGCTATTAATCAAATGAAAAACCAAATTATCCAGTGAGTGAATTCTGTTGTTGTTACCCCAAATGGCACACTGACAACTTGCAAACATTTAAAAAAAATAAAGAGATTGCCTTTGGGGTCTACTACATTACTATGACAGTTTAGAAATATCAAGGTAGCCTAACATGTTGAATGATGACTTTGCATGGCCACAACACTTTTTTGCAACCTACAATAAAACACTGGCATGCTAACAATTAAAGGAAAAATCAAACCATCCAATGAGCGCATGCCTTTTTCCTACCATAAATGATACAAAAATAACCCACTAACATATGGAAAAATAGAGACTACCTCTAAGGTCTTCTACCTTACTATGACAACTAAGAAATGCCAAGATAGCCTAACATGTGTTGTGATGTGTTCACATTGGTCAGAATACTTTCTTGTGGCCTTCCTATAAAATACTAACACACTATCAATAAAAAGAAAAATCAAATCACTTAGTGAGTGCATGCTTGGGTGATTTGATTTGGATGAGTTCATGTGGTTACAACACTTTCTCGTGACCCTCCAATAAGCCACAAATGTATTATTAATCAAGTTTAAAGCCAAACCACCTCATAAGTGCATACCTTGGTGATTTGGTTTCTATTAGTCCACATGGTCACAACTCTTTGTTGAAATCCTCCATTAAAAATAGATATTCTATCAATCAAACGAAAGACAAAATTACCCAATGAGTGCATGCTTATTTTTACATGAACTACCCACTATCACATGATAAATGGAGTACCTCAAAGATCAATTACCTTACTAGGAATATCAGAAAATTTGAAGGTAGCCTAACATGTGAAGCGATGAGTTCACATAATCATAATACTTTCTTGTGGCCACAAAATAAATAAATAAATAAATAAATAAATAAACACGCTCTAAGTCAAAGGATGAACCTTGTCATCTAGTGAGTGACTGAGTGTGTGCTTGGGTGATTTGGTTTTCATTGTCATCATCAAATTTTGTGGGATTGGTTGAACCTATTGGGATTAATTCAAAGCTGTGGTAAAGGTATTACATAGGAATGGCAACGGGCGGGGCATCCCATCCCCGACCCCGCCCCGTATCCAAAATCCCTTACCCCGTCCCCGGTGGTGGGTGGGTCACCTCCTCCTTATTGGGGATGGGGAATCCCCGAATTTTCCAAGCCCCGAGTCAACACCTAAAAATATATCATATTTGGGGTATTTTGGAAATTATATTATGGGAATCTTGGGGTATTTTAAACATTGGATTATGGAAATTTAGGGGTATTTTAAGCATTAAATTATTGGATCCTAAAGGTTTTAGGAATTTGGGGAAATTTTAAAGATATTTTAGAAAATAATGTTAAACCTAGGCATATTTTAATAATTTACCACCGGGTTTGGGGAATTATATGCAAAATCCATCCCCGCCCCGTCCCCGGTTCGGGGCAAAAGTATTTTCTCCGTCCCCGTTTAAGATCGTGGTAAACCCGCCCAATTCGGGGCAAGGTTGGGGCCCCGGTTTTATAGGGAATGTTGCCATCCCTAGTATTACATTACTTTTTTTTTTTTTGAGAAAAGGTAAAGTATCATTGTATCAGTATGAACAAAAAATATACAGCAAGACGATGTACTCCAGGAAACAAGAAAAAACTGCTCCCTTTAACCTTGATCCAAAGGTATTACATTTTTCACGAGTAATCATAGATTCCATTTATGAATACATGGTAAAGAGATGCACAAGAGAGCTAAAAAATCACCTCTACCGAGTACCAGATTCTACACCCAAAAGTGCATCTTAGTTAAACATGAAGCACCTTATTTAAATTTGCTGAACTCTTCCAAAGCTAAAGTGCAATCCATCAAAAAGCTGAAAGAATATGTTCATATGGAAAAATAAAAAAAAGGCCTTTCCATTCCCATGGAGGGAGTTTAACATCAGTCACCAATTAGGAAAACACTTCTCCATCTAAGCTCAGGACTAACAATGTGAAACTAATCTTGGTATTAAATGAATATATACTGCAAACTGATTAACTTTCCATTCTCATTTATTACTTTCAAGAACTGTCAGTGGATTTTGGTTATACAATCACTTTACCAAAATCCACATTTCAATGCTTTTTGCTTTTCACGCTTGCAGTAAGAGTGTAAGACCCATCATTGAATTTTCTAATATTAATGCTGTCATCAGCCCTTTTTTTGGCTGAGGCCTGCCTTGCCCATTTGATCCCTAAAGGTTAGGAACAGTTTCCTCATTGAATTGCTCTTTCAGAATGTACAGTTCTTTATGATTGTAGCCTGGGGCATTTAAGAATTTTGTAGATGTCAAGGACTCTGCCAATATTATTTTTATTTTCAAAGGTGCAATTATTTTGATGCAGTGATCGGAAATTCTGAGGGTATATGGGTACATGCGGTATTTGTTTCAAAGGCAGCAGGTGAAACCTTGATGAAGTTTGCTCGAGGTGAAGAAGGTGAATGTTGCATCAGTCCTTTGTTAGAGGAGACAGCCTGGACTGTACTGGTAATATCCTTGATTTCTCTTCTTGTCATCGTATCAGTGCTGGCAGCATTCTTCTTCACTCGTAATCATCGGGGGTACCGTCAAGGTAGATATTACCAATATGCAACCCTAAGCAGTCAGATGCTGGAAGGTCTTCCTTGCTTCACATTCAACGCTGCATGCCCAAGTGAACACTGCAGAGGAGACACTTGTGCTATTTGTCTTGAAGACTATAGGAATGGAGATTCCCTGAGAATTCTCCCCTGTCAACATGGTAAGCTGATCATAAATTTTGTAGTACTTGTTTCAAGGTGCTTCCTGTTATGGGGTAGAATGGAACTTGGTAGTTGGTCCCTAATATTTCTCATCCTCGTGTCCTTTGAATTTATTTTTATTGTTACAGTTGATTAACTTGAAACTCTCTAGCAGAATTTCATGCAAACTGTGTGGACTCATGGCTGACAAAGTGGGGGACATTCTGCCCAGTGTGCAAGCAAGATGTTATTGTAGATGCAATGGACTCAAGTGAGCAAAGATCAATACTCTCGTTGTTGAATGCTGGATAATGTGATATTTGGCAGTTTGATTCTCATGTAAAGCATACATGGCTTCTATCTTGGTGTACCACCAAAAGGGGAACAAGTGTTTTTTTCCTTCTTGATTTCTTCTTGTAAATGCAAATCAATGAAGATATCTCTCTTCTTAGTCTTTTTGTCCATCTAATATGCATGCGTTAAATGTTGGCTCACATAAATGCAATACCTTGATACAGTCAAATCTATTACCTTCAAAAAAAAAAAAAAGATGCTGATTGGTAAATTTCTTTCTAATTTGGATGTTGTTCTGAAATGTTGGTATTCCAAGGGTAATGTTAAAACAAGTATCTGGGACAGGTAAGCAGCTAATATTTTCTGCCAAGTCAGGTAATTGTGGGAATGGTGTTATTAGGGTTGTTCTGAAATGATGGTATTCCAAGGGTAATGTTAAAACAAGTATCTGGGACAGGTAAGCAGCTAATATTTTCTGCCAAGTCAGGTAATTGTGGGAATGGTGTTATTAGGTACTAAGATTGAACAAACCTACAATTTCATGGCTAATACTGCAGACTTTTTTTTAAGTTACTCTAGGTTTTTGTTATACTGTCTTGCATAGTTGTACAATGTCAATACTCTTTTTTTATCAGTAACAAAATATTTCATTTCATTAATTTGAAATAAGGATACAAATGGAGGAGATAACCTCTCTTATCTCCCCCAAACAAGAAAAACAGAGCAAAAAAATTACAGTTGAGCCCAAAACAAAGTACCCCTCTTAATCCCTTGTTTTGCTAACCCATCAGCAAAGGAGTTTGCACCTCTCTTAACCCAATTTACTTCAACTTCCATGTCATTTATCAGCCACTTGAATTTTTTCTTTTCATTACTGTACACGTACAAACCATTGTTATCGCCCTTCAGCCGTTCCACCACCAGTTTGGAGTTTCATTCGATGATCAGCTTCCTTATATTTAAGTGCATATCTCTCTGTACACCATCTAATGCTGCCAAAATCTCATCTCTAAGAGAATCACCATCTTCAATTGGGCCTGAGAGCAAGGCAATTATTATCCGTTTCTCATCCCCTTAACATACCCGCAATACCCGAAGGCCCTGGGTTGCCAACACTAATCCCATCAAAGTTCAGTTTGTAAAAGCCACTTGGAGGAGGGGACAAAACTGCGAATGATACCTCCTGAACCGGGCTGAGAAAGCAACTTCTTTCCAATTTCTTGACAGATTTTCTATTGATACATTGTTGAAGAGTTCCATAGATTTATGCCAATGTATTACCCTGAAACAAATCACCTCCTGAATGGTTTCCTTGTTCCTCTCCTTCCCTGAGAATAATTTGGAATTTCTTTATTCCCAGATGGTCCGTATAACGGCAGCCCTTACACAATATCACATTATTCTACCCTTTTTCTTTGGCAATCTGAGGAAGGACAAAGCAAACAAACTTTTAACATCTGGTGGCGGGGCCCACCTGCATCCAAACAAAAAAGAAAACTATTCCCATAAACCTTTAACAAAAGAGCAAGAGATCAATAAGTGGTAGCAATTCTCACCATCAACCTCACAAAGAAAGCGCCAATAAAGAAACAACATTTCTTGGTCTTTTTCTTTGAAGCAAGTCATAGGTATTGATTTTTTCCAGATATGCTTCCTAACAAAAACATCCAATCTTTGGTGAAATAGGTTTATTCCACACCTCTTCAACAGGAAAAAATAGACCCTCACTAGCTGTCGGTTGGGTTAGGGAGTTGAAGAAGGATGAGCAAGTAAACAAGCCATGAGGAGTGGGAGCCCAAATTCTTTTATCAGCTTGAGAGGTGTCCAAAAACACCCCATCCAGGATACCCATAAGAGACAAAGTACTATTTAACTCAGAATCCCTAACGGTCCAGTTTGCCCTTCTCAATCCCAAATCCCTACTGAACCCAAACCCAAGAAGGTAGAAATAGGTTATTTTTTAAAAGAGACAATGCAAACAGAAGGGAACTGATTGCTCAAAGGAAAATTTTCCACCCACACTTGTTCTCAAAATTTAATACAGTTTACAGAGTGCAAATCATACCTGATCCAAGGCAAGAAAAAAGGAAGGATGGCTTGGATAGGTTTCCACGGGGATGCTCTTGTAGTCCTGCTCTTGTAGTCCTTGCTCTAATTTCAGTTTCCCAGCTATTTGCTGCTAATCCATGGATGCTCACCATAATGTCAATACTCTTAAAATGCCATGCCACAGTTGCACAATGCAAATCCTCTTTGAATGCCATGTCTAATATTGCAAACTGTATTTTTTTAAAGTTGCTCTAGATTTCTGTTATACTCTGTCTTGCATAATTACACAATGTCAATCCTCTTAAGATGCCATGCTGCAGTTCGACCTCTGAGCTTCTTAGGATTGCACAGTTGCACAATGTAAATCCTCCTTGAATGCCATGGCTAATACTGCAGACTTTTTTTTTGGGAAGTTGCTCTAGGTTTCTGTTATGCTCTATATTGCATAGTTGCACAATGTCAATACTCTCAAAATGGCAGGCACCCTCTGTTTTTGGAAGTTCCTTACCAGTTTACATTTAGATGGAATAAAAATCTTGGCTGATTTTCCTTGAGATAACATTGTTTTTAGAATAGGCACCCTCTGTTCTTTTCTGTATAAACTCCACTGTTCAAGTTGCTCTTCTAGAGCTTGTTGAGATGTAGCTATCGTTTGGGTCATCTGGTGGGGTAAGTGTGCCCAAGACCTTGGTTTTACAAATGGTTTGTCAACGTCTATTGATGCCACCACTGACCTGGATTGTCCAGTTAGTGTGCCAACATTACCAACAAAGAAGAAATTGGGAATGCTTCAACTTTGACCTTGGAAATGCATGTTTCCAAGGTCTGGCAACGTTAACGTATAAGCAAGGAGGCTGCAGCTACAATAGGCAAAAGCCTTAGGCTGTTAGACATTATATTAAGCAAGGAGGCTGCAGCTTGCAGCCTTGCAGGGATGTCCTCCAGTTGGAGCTTGACATTCCACAGCTACTGTCTGTAAAGGGCATAGTTGGTAGCTGCAGGTTATTCCTACATTGGGGAATTTTCATTTGAAAAAGAAAATCTACAAGGGAAAATGAGGAAAAGAATTCCTCTGCATGTTCTTAAAATTCACAAGTTTGGTTAGTCTTTGCTTCATTACTGTTTTTTGGTTATTTATTACTGGTTTATTGTCAGTGAAATATTTATTTGTAAAGTTAGAAGAAGATCCTGAAGGACCTGATTGCTGGACGAAGTGATAGCAACTTCATATGTTACTACATTTCACTATGGCAAGTACTAGGGCTGCAAGTTGGACTGGGTTACGAATCGTTGATCCCCCAACAGTGACCTTAATTATTGGGTTGGGTTTGTATTGGTCCAATTTCTTCCTTCTTTTTCAATCTTTTGCTTTAAAAAATGTTGTGTGGAGATAGAAATGGTGCTTTTGGAGAATTATAGAATTATGTTTATGTTACATACATAAATGAAAAAAAAAAAAATCAGCGATGAAATTATCAATCTAACTTTATCAATTTGGAAAATGTATGGGAAAGGCATCTTATTGCAATATATAGTATAACTATGTAAACATCATAGCCTTGTCCCAACTTCAGTTTATTCCATTCAATGCTACAGGTGTCAAAATTAACATTGTATGTGTGTGATTGATGCGTTCATTTAGTTATTGTGACCGGAATCGGAATCAGAAAGCTCATCTTGAGATTGTTTGATGAGTCCCACCCAGTTCAAGTCAAATTCTGACCCCATTTTAAGCCCTATACAAGTCTCACTTCTCAGTGTATTAAGTTATATCTCTTGTACAACCATAAATCACAAGGCTGGCTCTGTTCGCTCTCCAGAACTATTGGGAACAATTGTGAAGTTTCCAAATCCTATTAATGTGAGTAAAGCTTAGTGCTGTATGATGAATCTATTCATTGTTAAATTTTTAATTTTATTTGATTGAATTATTTCAACAGCAGTGAGAACTTGTTGTAGGATAATGAGAAAAGAAAACGAGCTTGTTGCAGAAATAGTGAAAGAGGGAGAGAGTTACCGAGAGAGGAAGACAAAGGGCAATTTGGTAAAAAGCCTCCCGACATAACTGAATTTCTTCATTGATCAAACTTGAACATTTAATATGTAAAGTCCGCATCCAATAAGGACTTTGGGAGTCCCATTGGCAATGGCTAATTCCACGGGCTTTATGCCAACTGCAAAGCACCAATACACCATGTTGAATGCTTTTCCGATGCTACGGGGATTACAAAATACAAACAAGGTGAAGAAACCAAACTTAAACTGCAAATCCAGTTGTTTTTTTTTTTTTATGCCCCCAGTGGTTTTTACTTTTTAGTTGAAACATCTCTCCACGTGTGCGTGGTACTGTAGCCCCGTGCTATGTGGTCAGTTTCCAATCCATGTTATTGTAAATTATAAAATCGCCCCTGTACTCTGCACTCACTGACAACAGACTCCCTTAACTTTTATTTGCAAACAAGGACCTCCTGAATTTTTAGTTTTCACGTTGTGAGAAATATTCTTTTTGTTGGAGTTTCATCACTTAATTTTGAAAAAGATTCTCATTCAGCTGTTTAAAATTTTTTGAAGTTCCAAACCACCTTTTTCTTATTTATTTGAACAATATATGAATCGATTACTTTTTTAAATATAATATTGAAGTCAAGGTTCAAAATATCAATACAGCCCGTTACACAGATAAGGGCGTATTGGGACCCTGAAACACCTTGTTAGGGGCGTATTAGAGGGGCCTTGATACGGTACGTATAAGCCGATATGCTTCAATACATGACAAAATTTTGAACCTTGATTGAAGTTTTCTTAATTGCTCTAATAAACTTTTACAAATTTTTGGCTGAATTCCATATTTAAATAAAATGGTAGCGGTTTCTTTTTGATAGATATAAATTTAAGTTATCATGTGGTTTTTCTTGGTTTATTGGAGAAAGGAATGGATGATTTTTGTATTTTAAGATGAACATAGACATTCATGCTAGTAAAATGAAACAAAAATTTAAAAAAACTTGTTTTCTATGTCAACAAAATGATTAGATTGTTTCATTTAGAGAAAAATAGAGGTATTTTGGGGTCAATTAAGGTTTAATAGAAAAAGGGCAAGAAAAAAAAATAAACAAAATTCATGTGGGTATTGATAATTTAATGCATTCCATCAAAGGCCAAAAGGGGTATTTGTCACAAAGTAAAAGCTTAGAAGGGTCTTTGTCACTAACCCCATACTACAGGGGGTAATTGGAATACGGTTTTAATCCAACAAGAGCCAAATTCGGATACTCCCATTGGTCCTAACAAATCGTGTTGAATATGAATTCAATCTTTCAAGGGTCCGTTTGGTTCGTAGTCGGAATAAGAATCAGAATCAAAATCAAAATCGGAATGGTCTATTTCCATGGCCTGTTTGGTTCAGACCATGGTTTTTAAAACCGAACCAGTGATCGAACCGGTTAGGGGTCAAGTTACCGGTTTGAATGGTTTGACCGTTCGACCCAAACAACTGGCCTGTTCTGACGAAATAAAAATTAAAAAATTAAAAAATTGAAAAACGGTCAAAACCCTTTGAACAGTTAACCGACCAATTCAGCGGTTTGCTAACCAAAATCAACGGTTTTGGGGGAAAAAGCAGTTTTGGGAAAAAACAAAACTGGTGAGGTGATCGGTTCCCGGTTTTTCCGGTCTGGTCCAATTTTGAAAACCATGGTTCAGACACGAATGGAAATGAGAATTAAAATCAGCAGGAATGGGATTTCATTCCCAAAAGAGAGGGAGGAATGGCCATTCCCTCAAATGGGGGATTGCCATTCTAATAAGAATGGGAATAAGATTCTGAATTCCGCGCAACAAAACAGTTGGAATAATTCCGATTCCGATTCCTGACCCCTATTCCTACAAATCAAATGTACCCTAAGTTTTTTTATTTCATTGTAATTTTATATATGTATTATGCCAAATTATAAATTGGCTTCGTAAGCCTTGACTCATTTCAATTCACCCATTCGGCTGTTCCCCTTCCATTATCATTACCACCGCAAGCAAGCACCCTGCACCCCCTTCTATTCCTCATCTCCTATAACAATCTAACCCAAAAGCAAATGCCAAAACCCTAGTCGAATCAAATATTTCTCTTCCATTTTCATTCCGTTCTATCTCAATAGTTGTTTCTCTTTCATTTTTCATTTCCCAGCAATCCGCGGCTATCCCTATCGCTTAGCCACTACCATTGCCCCTGCAACCAACAATCGACCATAATTTGGTAACTCTGATGGGAAACTCAATCGATGGAAAGCTGAAAACAAACGCATAAAAATACGGACTAGGAGTAAAATTTTACACGGATCTGTATTTACACTGAAAACAGACACATCTCTTTTTATCCAAATGGATTTGTTTAGGTTTCAACTACATAAAGTTTTTGCTTAAGATATTAAAAGTTTCTCAATAAGGATACTTATTAGTTCGAATTGGATTTGAGTAAGATATCTGACGAAGGAAGATTTGGCCCGATCTCACAAACACTCCACGTGGCAAAAACAAATAGCTCGGCACTTAAAGTAGCGTACCCAGGGCGCAAGTACCAAAGGGAAGAAACCAGCAGTCCGAACTCCCTACGAGGAGCCCGAACTCTCCCTTAGGCCCCGAGCCGCACAAAGCAGTGACCCGAACTGGCCCGCCTCATGGCAGTTCGGGACACCCACCTATCCGAACTCAAGACTTCGCATCGCACACCACTCCAAGCACTTCGCCTCTAGGACGCCGAACTAAACAAACACCGTACCTGACACCGAAGGAATCCGTATCCAGGGGCGGCGCACCTGACTGACTTGGGATCTGACGCTTGACAGCCGCACTTCAACGGCCACCTGCCACCGCCACCTGTTACCGCCATCTCCAGTTACAGAGACGGCTCTGACAAAAAGAGCAGTGGCGGTTCTGCCCCAGCAGAGGTGATGACACCCGAACTGGCAAAAGCACGGAAGTAATCATACCCGACCTGACAGAAGCCTAGGAGTGAGTGCGCGAGGTGGTTATAAAAGGCTCTCTACCCCCCAAGAACATGGTATGCAAACTTTGCGCTATCTGGTTTTATCTTGCCTTTGAAGGATTCTAACTTGAGCTTCGGAGCCTTTACATCGGGTTCCCCCTGGAGCTTCTTCATCTTCTCCGTTTCAGGTTCCCTGCTACTCAGTTCAGAGGCAAAGTTGTTGACAGCTAAGATCGGCCGGATTGCACATCATCAATATCCATTATTAAGATAGAACGGATTAGATTCGAATCATGATTTGTAAAATCCCGCAGATTCGTATCGAATTCAAATCTCTCTAAAATTTTACTGAATCAAGTCGGATAAACTTCTTACCAAATTCGATTCCATTCATTTGGAGCCTTGGTCCTTGTAATTTATTCTTTTTTTTCCTCTCTTTTTTATTTAAATAAATTTGCCACGTTAGCTTGTTTGCGTGAGATGTGACGTATATCAAGTTATCATGAAAAAAAAAAAGAAAAGTTTAGTGGAGTGCGCGTGGAGCGGCATCTACTTTTATATTGCTAGTGCTGGAGCCTAAAGACTCGTCTGATTCTCCATGGGTTAAGCGTTTGTCGTTGCCGTTGGGTTTACTATAAAATTTCTATGGACCACATGGCGTGTCCTAACCGTCACAAAATCTCTGCACTTTTCTCCTGTTCTTTCATTTATTAGTGATCCTCAGTCGTTATTTACAAATGTGCAGTATAAACTGTGAGGCAAAGCCCAAAGGGACATTATCCCAATTCCCAAGTGCACCAAGATGAAGCAGTGCAGGATTCCACGCGGTTCGACCACAACACAGTAAATGTTCTAATGTAAACAGAATTTTGTCACAGTTCCTCGTTTTGGTGCATACACCATTCAGCTTGACTTGACCTTCAAAAAAAAGAGGAAAAAAAGAGAAAACAGCTTGACTTGATTAAAAAAGCAAAGACCTGAAACTGGAAGCAAGAGAAGATGAACGTATATAAATTAGAGAAGAGGTAAAAGGGATGTAAGAGCAGAGGACTGAATGCGGATAGAGTAAACAGCTGCATCAGCCCACCTTTTTGTGTTTCTGTCGGTGAAACAGGAAGATCTCGTCTTCTCTCACTCTCTTACCAACTCTTTTCCGACATACATAAACACCGACTACTCTTCTTCATGGACTCTCAGAAAAGGTGAATTTTAGCTTTAGCTTAGTCTTTCTTCTTTGCGCTTAAATAATTTCTTCCGACTTCCGATCGAACCGTGCAATTAGATATATATAATTGAAAAGAATGGGTTTTTCTTGGGTCGTATTCTTTTCTGTGATCCTCCTCTTCTCTTTCAGCAGCAGCTCTGCCGATGTCGTGACAGTCGATGTTCACGCTGCCAAGGATCTCCTCCGTTCCGGCCACCGTTATCTAGATGTCAGGTTGGCCAATTTTACACCGGCCTTCGTTCTTGGGTCGTATGCTTGATTTTGAATTTTATTTTTCATTATGGGTTTTCTCTGTATTCGTGTCTTTCTGCTTTTTTTTTTTCTCCAATTCTTAGAGCTCCATTGGTTGTATGCACAGGACAACAGAAGAGTTCAACAAGGGCCATGTCGAAGTGGAGAATGTTTTGAACATTCCTTACATGTTATTCACCCCTGAAGGTGCTTTGTTCTCATGGTTCATACTTGTAATTTCTCTTTCTTGCTCCCCTTTACTTTCACTTCTCTGAAACTGGTTTTCTTTTTCTTGTTCTTGATGAATAATTTCAGGTAGGGTGAAAAACCCTCATTTTCTAGAGCAAGTTCAAGCGGTTTGCAGCAAGGATGGTTATCTCGTTGTGGTAATAATCGACCTTTCTGATCATACTTTCTTGGGTTGTTGACAAGGAAAGAAAATTGATGTGAGAATTAATTCTATATGAAAACATATAAAAAAAATCTTGGCAATATAAATTATAATATCTTACCAATTCGGAGATTAAAAATTTATAAGTAGTACCTCTCTTGTCTTAATCTATTATTAAAGAAAAAATATAATAGATCTGAGGGCATCATTTGATCAAAATTGTGAAGGGCTGTCAAAGTGGGGTGAGGTCACTGCATGCGTCTACTGAACTTCTCAAGGCTGTAAGTTTGCATCTCTGTGATTATTGTATTCTTTCTTACCAAATGGGTTCTTCGTTTGTATTCTGTTGATTTGGGGGGAGGGAGTTCTATTCTGATTTGCCTGTTTGGGGAATGACAGGATTTCAAGCATGTGAGCAACATGGGAGGTGGATATGCAGACTGGGTTGAGAAAGGGTTTGCCGTGAAAAAACCGGCAGCCGAGACTGAGCTGTGATATGACTTGATGAAGGTGGCGATGCTTTCGTTTGCCAGTTTGATATTTATAGTCTTGTTATCTTCTGTATCAGGTTGCTGCTGGTGCAAGTTTGTGTGTAACATCCAAACATCGAATTAGCAGAAACAGATTCAATAAAAAGAAAGGTTTCTCTCCAAGTTGTGGAAATGGGATTAGGACTCTCTTTGATTTCTATTCCTCTACAAAGTACAAACAAAGAAGAGAATAATAATGTATCTGATTCTGGCAAATTCTCTCTATATAAATTGCAGCTTGTAATTGCTAATTAGAAAGAGATACTGGAGTTGGGTATTTGGAGAGGATTTTAGATGATTGCAAGAGATTTTGGGTTGTGGGATTATGGTGGATTTGGGGAGAAACTGAAGAATGCACATAATTCTATGCAATTGCCTATTACCTCAAACGAGTCTCATGATCTGCTAAGTTTGGGCCCCAAAGCTACAGCCTACAGAGTAAAATTGCCAATCGGTTCATTAATCAATGCCATCTTAAAGCGGAAATTCTTTGCAAAATTTACTGGTTTCTCTAGCCCCGTTTGCGTTGAAACAAGTATCTTAGCTCTGTTGGACCTATTTTGGCTAATGTTTTAATGAATTTCGGCAGAGTTTGGGAGCACTTATTTGAATCGTAAGTGCTTGTTGAATTAAGTGATCATCCCAATAAGTGCTCATGAATGGTTCTTGAAAAAGCACTTATTTTAAGTAGGGATATTTTTAAGATGATGTGGTGGGTCAAGATAGGTCAGAAACGAAATAAGCATTTAAAAATGAGTTCGGATGGATGGGCTCCGAAGCCTCACAGGTGCCCCACAGCCCATCCCCTTCATGCATCCCCAATGGATTCCCTTCACTTATTTGGGATTTTCAAATAAGTGATTATTTATTTCTCAAATCCAAATAAGCAATTATTGATATTTTCAGTAAGTGCTTATTTTTAAGTACTTTCAAACTTAGCCTTAAACAAATAAGAAACAATTTACTTGTAATATATGTAGCACGCTTAAGCTTATTTGTATTCCATGACTGTTGGCTGCATTTGGTTGCAATGCAAATAAATATGCACTGATGCAAAACTATAGTAGTACAAATGATTTGAATGTAAATCTTGGCCTATTTTTGTTTCAAATTTTAGCTTATTTTGTTTGATTACAGTAAAAATAAAGTAAATTAAGATATGAAGCAAAATAAAATAAAACCCAAAACAAAATTAAATAAGAATTTATATTTTTTTTCATTTGCACTTCCATGCATTTATATTAATGCAAATAAAATTGCATTGCAATCTGTAACTAAATACAAAGGTTCAGTTTGGTTGCGGTGCAACTTTCATTATTTGCATTAGCACAAACGCATGGAAGTACAAATAACTTACTTGTAAATTTTGGTTTATTTTTTCCTCATATTTCCCTTTGTGTTGTTTGTGAGAAATATAATAAGAGGTGAGATAATGTTGTCCTCATCTTATAAGAGGGGTAGGCAAGACTCAAGAGTACGGAGGTAGGAGGAAAGCTAGATGATGCCGTTTCCACTTTATATAAGAGAGAATTAAAAATAGGTGGAAGGTGATGCAAATTATAAAAAAAAGCAGATGCAAAACTTGCATCAGGTTCAAATTTGTGTTGCAAACAAAGAGATAAGCCTACAGAGAAATAACATTAAAAAGTAGGGTGGGTCACGAGGGTTCACTTCCTCCCAGATTTCAAGCGCTCCATTGGCATTTATATATCATACAAAGAAAGAGCTTAAGCTTTTATGGACGGAACTTGCAAGAAGTTTTCAACTCAGCCGCGGGTTTGTCCCCTTCTGCAAATCCATTGTCTACCCATTCCGAATAGCCTCCTCCCATATTTTTGACATGCTTGAATCCCTGCACATTTCATTCCAGCTTTTTTTAAATAAAAAAAAAGATGGTCAAATTCCTTCAATGGAACAAGCCAAGTTGGTTCGGTTCCATTACAAATTAATTGGACAAATTTTCTCATACAAATCCTTGTTGATGAAGAGAACTATAATAATTATAAATATATATGACCCAAACACTAGACAACGAGGGAAAATAAAAAGGAATCGGAAAACTTCTTGTTCAAGATATTAATATTTAAACTTTGAAATGGAAATCATTTGACAATTTCTGCCTTGGAGAACAATTGGACAAATAAATAAGCTTTTAAGTATTACTGTACCAAGCGATAGATTAGAATCCAAGTCAGCTCCAGCTATACCCATAACCCATATCTAATACCTATTTTTTGCAACTGCTTTACTTAAATTGGCACCTATACACAGTTTTTTTTTTTTTTCTTTACATACTCGTAGTTGTGTTGTGAGTTGTGAGTGCTGTCTCAACTCTCGACTCTTAAATCGGGTGTTTACGGGTTGGTTCAATTTAGTTGCAGGTTGATTGGCCAATCGAACTGACCTAGTCAAATTGAGGAATTGGTCATTCAAAATCAACCGATTATTAATGAAAATCGGCTAAATCGGGTTGTTTTGGTTTTGGTTAGTCTTTTTTCGGTAGGTCAATTTAAACTTATAAATTAAGTTTAAAAATTAAAAAAAAATGATAACAATATTCTTAAAAATTAAACTAAGAAGATTAAGTTTACAATACAAAATATTTTAGGTTAAGAGAAAATTTTCGATTTTTCTATATTAAAATTTTTAATTTAAAATATAAAATATTAATATATATATATATATGATTGGGCTGATTTTGGTTGGTTTACAAAAAGTTAAACCCAAACCAACCTAGCTTAATTAAATTGAAAAAATTATAAATCAAAATTAACCAAAAATACTACAAAACTGACCAACGTAAATTAAATTGTATCGCATTAATTAGTGTCATCCCCTACTCTCAAGTGGCATAATGCTAATGCCTAAGGTGACACCACTGAAATATTCGAGCATTTTGATGTAAAGATAGGATGAATGAAGTGGAAATACAACTTACAGCGTTAAGAAGTTCAACACAAGCACGGAGCGATCTGCCTCCACTATTGCAACCCTTCACAAATAAATTTCAATCCACAGCATTAGATTCTCTTTTTTTCAGTGTATATGTACTATGTAGTGGGGGCTCTGGGAAGAGGGTTATTTTGAAGGGCCATAGTCAAATATTTTTGTTCTCAAGATCCAATGGATACCCCATAGACATGCAGCATGCCCGTCGGATTTGGATCTTTTTTAATACCGACGTTTGGGTCCCCCCGTTGAACTGATACCCCTCTACACTTTTTTCATCTAAAGAAGGCAAAGAAAAATTAATTACCACCACTATTTGATCATCTTTACTACAAACTGCAGTGACCTGGTCGATGAACTCAGGGTTTACTACCTTACCTGCTGATCACAAACAACAAAGCTATAAGAAATAAAGAAAGAAAAAAAAAACTATAAAAAAAAAGAAGAGAAGGCTGACCAGATTTTGGGCCAAATTCTTGATAACGTGGACATCTAATCTATACTAGACAGTCCTGATTCTTCTGGCCATGAACTGGGTACACCCAAGGATAGTTCTAGGTGGGCCCCTATATTATGGGCTTCCGATCCAAACCTACCTTGCGGTGTGATAAACATGTATGGAACGTTCAACGCATTCTCGATGTGGCTTTTGTTGAATTCTTCACCCGTCCTATAATATATTACAGAAAAAACAGCAAAAAAAAAAAAAATGATTCATAGACAATCAGAACAAGCTTATTAAAGAAGAAGAGTCTATATTATGTATTTATGTCAAAGGGGAAAAGGCATGTAATTAGGGGTGTTAATGGGCCGATTTTGGGTTGGACTCTGTTCAAATAAAAATCAATTTAGATAGATTAGATGGACTAATAAGATATATTGAATTTGGACAGATTGGATGGACCAATAAGACATAATGGACTGAACCTGGTCTGTCCATAATAAATTTATGGCTCAATATCTAATCCATTGATAGAAGATAAGAACATAGGTGTCAATGGACCAGATTTGAGATGAAACCAATCTAAATTGACAAGAAATTGAACAGATTGGACAGTTCAGACATTGAATTGGATGGATTAAAAATGACTTAAAATATTCATTGGACTAGATTGAAACAGGTCCTTTTGTAATGGACTCACGTTGGACTGGATTGGATTGATACCCATGTAATTAGAGAAAAGAAAAAGCAATCTCATCGTCAAGATAGGTCGTACCTTACATCCAGATAACGATAGCCTGAGCATAAAAGATCTTTAGCAGCATGGACATTGACAGTCACTACAACGTTCTCAGAGCTGCTGCAACGCACAGACGACGTAGATAAAAGCTATAAGTTGGGGATACTATTGGATTATAATGAGAAAATAACGAGCAGAGAAGAAAATTTTCCTCTCACCTTTTAGGGGAAGCCATGGATGGATTTTGAAAAGCTTCTGTGTGTTCTGTCTCACTCGCCTTGGTTTCGCCCTGTCGCCTTAAAAGCTTCTTCTACTTAATTAGCTTCTACACGCCAATGACATAATTTATATATACAAGTGGCTGATTGGCTTCTAAACTGAAATACAGAACAAAGTCAACGATTCCTTAGTCCTGACGTTTATCACCAATGATACTATATTATAGGGGCTGGCTCGACCCCTCTTCTCTTTAATCTTTATAGGTTAAGTCAATGGCCAAGGCTTAAGCTTAAACTTGATCTGATACTAAGCTCCGCTGTCATGTGTTCTTGGTTTCAGTGTCAAATGCTATTTGGCTGTGGACCCAATAGTAAAGAAATGTTTGAGGGTCCCAATGAAATTAATGAAAGAACAAATGATGTCCAACTACATAATTGGGCCAACTTGTTGAACCATAGCCATTGTCCCTATACTGATGGGGATTTTGTTTTAATTATTCCTTGAGATAATTGCAATAATGAACTATTTTGATCCATGATGGAGTTTCATCTGTGTGATGTATTTGTAATTTTGTATCTAAAACATTATCTTGATCTTTGATCATTAAAAAGAATCTTTGAATAGCCAGCCAATGGATATGGTTAATTAACAGAATATCCTTTAGTATATCCTAGTCATTTTAATATTTTATTATGAATAGCCATATTTAGTCTATTCAGCATGTCGTGGAATGTCATGCATGTAATTGGACCATGGGGTGCATGATCTCATACCTCCCAGCCTGCACAATCAATTTTCTAATTGATAATTGTTTTTTTTTTTTTTTGATGTGGAAGTTGTTAGTTGCAATGTTTAAAAAATTGGATTAGACCAGCCAGTCAGATCGGTTGAATTGTGACCCGGGCCCCTGGCCGGCTTGGTCATGCCCCATGCCCCCAAAACCACCTACTGGCAAATCCAACCGAAAAACTAGTGATTCAGTCTTGGTTTTTTATTTTATTTTTTTTAAATGTAAATGCAAACCTCCGAAGATCGTTTGTGCTTGGCTATTCAATTGGGATGGTCATTTTTTTTTTTTTATTTTGGGCAACCTTTGGAGATTTATGTATTTTCAAGCCTTATCCGACAATTTTTGACAAATCCCTTTTTTAGCTTTGGCCTCAAATCTTAATTTTTAATATTAAAAACTCAAACTATATTTTTGACGATGGTTGAACTTCTAACCCATGAATCTCTCTATTTCTTGGGCGGATGCCAGATCCGGTTATCTGAATATTGGTTTTTTGTTTTAAGGAAAAAAAAAACTTCATAGATGGTTCTAGATTAACTTGATTTGAGCCTAACTGGCAAATGCATTGATCCATTACTTTTAAACGAAATTTGCAAGTACCACGACTGAGTATAAATGAATAGCAATTAATAAACAAAGAAATGAACAAATTTTAATCTGAACTCCAAATGTTGACTTCTGACTTTCCTGAATGAATTATTGGTATAGGCTTCCAACTTGAAGCTTGAAAAAAAAAAAAAAGAACAGTGACAACACTTTTACATTGGACGTTGACCCTGTCAAACAGAGAGAGAAAAGAGTCAAACAGGGGTGCCAGGAATTTATAGAACTGAATTCCTCATTAGTATAAGAGAGACTGTAGAAGACAAGGGTTGAAAGGGTAATGTTACATTTAGAAGGTCATTGTAGAAGTCGGGAGCGATGCACGGAGCGTTGCCTGCTAGCGTTCCTTAGGTTAAAACTTCTTCGCTGCTAAAAAATCTTACGTAAGGAAAAGCTTGAAAATAAAATACAACCAAGGCTACAAGAATGTCAAATACAAATAATTAAGATTATAATTAAGAGAGTCGTCAGAAGCAAGTTAATCAATACGTCTTAAGTTGGGTTGATTAATTCTAAAATCATCGATACCAAATACAATAATATCATTAATGACAGCTACCAAGCGAAAAAGATAATAATGATTATTGTAATTATAGAATGCATTTTTCTTCAAGATACTTGAAGAAGAAGAAAGAAAGTACAATTGCAAGGATCTTCGCTTCGCGGGAACAACAAAAACCACCATCTCGCTCTTTCCTTTCTTCGGTAGTAGCGTAGAATTTACACCCATTTGGTGGAGCTACAAACTAATTGGGGAGAGAATGTATTGCTCGAGTTTTGAGTCTTCACCAGTGACCATATTACCTTATGTGGCATTTCCGCAAACAGATAATATATATATATTTGCCATGAGGCCCATGAATTGGAGCCTACATATACGGATAGTACATTCTTTAAAATATTCTCACATTACTTTGAATATTTCTTCAAAACAGGATTCTCAGCTCCCGGTTTTGGATTTTTTATTATATGATGTCTTGAATTAGGGCTGGGAAAATTTTAAAATATGTTAATTCAATATTTATTATTAATCAGTAGTTAAATGATATTTAAAAAGACACAAATATTTTTTAAAAATTATCTAATTTTCTTTATCATGTGAAATAATCCTAATTTTTTTGTCTTCTATTCAAGAAATTTAAGATTGGATGGTTGATATATAAAAGATTTGGGACTGTTCATTTTGCTTGGCTGTTCTATTTGTTAGGAACATAGGTAATAAGACATCATACCTACCTAAAATACGGAACCAGTCAACTTTTCCCCGTTCGTCAGTTATGCATGTAGCATGTCACGTTATCGAGTTGGCAACCGTCAAACTGAATTCTATGCACTCCATCGATATCGGTGATTGTTACGAGTCTCCTAATCCAAGTCGTCCATTCCAACTCGTTGGGCGTTGACAATCTATCCTTGTCTCGCTCTCTCGGTTCTTGTTTGTTGTTCTTATAATAGAAGTAGCTAGAACCAAGTATACAAAGTATTATGGACAAAGACGCCATCACCAGATTGCCTTCCCGCCTGGAAAGTGGAAAACCCCATCACCATTTGTTTGAGGACTCCTGCACTGAGGTAGTGTTGTTCATAAATCGTATAGCTCTAGCTTTGACCTTCAGTGTTCAGCACACAACGAATTCATTCATGTTCAGTTCAGGGGGTACTCGATGTCGCGATGTATGTGGGAAAAGTCTTTGGGATAAGTGCCGTTGAAAGTTGAAACTCTCAAGTTTTAAGTTTTAACGGTACGCCCCTTAATTTCGACAACCACAGATATCCGGCTTCCGTTCTCACTTCTCAGTTCTCACTTACGTAAATGATAATAATAAGAAGAATGGAGATTATGTGGATTCAGGAGTACTCATGATTTTCCGTTTTCACTTTTTTCTTCATGAAAAAGGATTAATGCTAGAAGCCGGAAGCGAGAAGCAGGAAGTTTTGCCGGAGACATCTGGGGCGCCGCAACTGTTTTCATCGCTTCGAGTCGACTCGTATGAGAGGAGGAAATCGATGTCACGACGACGGAAATGCTTCCCTCTCCCCATGAACATCTCAGCTTGGGCCCAGTCTCAAGCTGCTCTGACCGACTTTCCACTTCCCAAAGCTTCTCTGGCCAAGAAGGTATACTTCCCTACTCATATTATACCTGTACCTGGCTAGCTTTATCTGCCATCGATCGATCGCCTACTGAAACTGGGTCAGCAGTAAGCTCATCCCATTTTGGAGGTGAAGAATTAAGCTCTGAAGTTGTAAATTTGTAACAGAGGAAAATACAAATAGCTAGCTAGGTTTGACTTTGATATTTGCGGGCTCGAGGTTTAGTTTGCTAATACGTGAATAGGTGACTCAACCATATATATAAAGGTGGGAGCCGAGTTCGTGGGGACCTTTATCTTGATATTTGCGGCCGCAGGAGGACCCGTCATGAACCAAAAGTATAATGGAGCAGAGACGCTGATTGGAAATGCAGCTTGCTCGGGGCTAGCCGTGATGATCGTGGTGCTGTCGATTGGACACATCTCAGGGGCTCACCTTAACCCGGCTGTGACTCTAGCATTTGCTACGTTTCGTCACTTCCCTTGGCTCCACGTTCCACCTTACCTCATCGCACAGATATTAGCCTCCATCTGCGCCTCCTTCACTCTCAAGGCCGCCTTCCACCCTTTCATCTCCGCCGCGGTCACCGCCCCTTCTATAACCCAAACACATGCCTTTCTTCTTGAGTTCATTATTACCTTTACTCTCATGTTCGTCATAACTTCTGTAGCTACCGACACTCGAGCGGTAATTAATCCATTAAATAATTCCTTACAGTCTTTGAATCCAAAACCCATTAATTAATTAATTAATGCATCAACTCTCTCTGGCGCCATCTCAGGTGGGAGAATTGGCAGGAATTGCAATAGGAGGAGCAGTGTTGCTTAACATTCTAGTTGCCGGGTTAGTACTTGTACGCTTAACATTCTAGTTGCCGGGTTACTACTTACTACTATTAATGCTGCATGCATGAAAATAAATTTTTCCTAATTAATCTCCACACAAATCTGAATAAATAACATGAGTTTCTTGAGGACTTTTCCCCTCTCAAATTCCAAAAAAATCAATGTCCCATAACAGTAATCTACATATTATACATATATGTGTCATCTTATGTTATTGGCTTATTGCTAATAAGGATTAATTACTATTACTATGAGTCTTTTAATTGTTTTCTGTAAAGAAAAATTTTCAGTGTTCAGTTACATTTTTTCTTTTGAGGAATTGCAATTGCGTGGTCTTTGTGATGATAAAACATAAAAGCGAGTTTTCCTGCTTCTTAAGCAATCTCTTTCTCACATTGAAATTAATTTTATATACGGTATTCTATTAAATTAGTAAAAAAGCAAAGAGAATGCTTAAGAAAGAAATGGGAGCAAGGCATTTGGGATAAGAAATTTTTCTAGCCAGTATATATTTTTTATACGAAAGAAGATACAGAAACAAACAAAAAAAAAAAAAAAGGAAGTAGTGTTTGTAGTATTATATACACTTGCTGAGAATACGTCCTCTTTGAATGGGAAAGGATATTAGGCTGGATACATATGATATGACTACGATGGCATGTTATATAATTCTATGCTAATCAAGATGCATGAAAATATAAATATTTAACAGGCCATCAACTGGTGCTTCAATGAATCCGGTTCGGACGCTTGGCCCGGCCATTGCAGCCCAAAACTACCGGTCAATTTGGATTTATTTTGTGGCCCCGGTACTGGGGGCCCTTGTAGGAGCAGGTGTGTACGGCGCTATTAAGCTCAGCGAGGACGAAGCCGACCCTAATCGCCTGACTATAAGTCTCCCGCACTAGGAGTCTAGGACCAAGAAGTGGGTGGCCACTGGCCCACTGGTAGGACAACAAGGTTAACCGGAAAGGCCGAAAGAATATATTCTTTGTTATTTATTGTAAGAATGCAGTTACAAGGAGAAGGTTAAAGTTAATTAGCTCTAGGAGTTCTGTTTAATGCTTTCTCTTTTCCTTTTTGCTCATTTTCCTTTCGTAGAGACTTAGAGAGGCAGGAAGAAAAACAGTGTGTAATAGTAACATATATAGCGTGTTTTGTAACACTTCGACATGTTTTGGGTATATGATAGTGATTAAGTGCTGCAAAGGTGCAAAAAAAAACCCAAAAAGCTAGAATATGCTTTAATTAAGTTTACAACTCAACTTTTCAATGAAACTAGTTTTAATCATTGTTTTAAAATGCTCTCACCCAGGTTAGGAAAAAAAAGATGTGGCCTCAAAAGTCTTTGACCCTATCAGCAAGGCTTAGGTCTTTAGTTGTTTGAGGCTTATGCCTTTGGGCCTTTGGCCTCAAAATATATTCAAATACACCTCAATAAAGTTGAAAGGGGTGTATTGAATATAGACACTTTTGAATCATGCACATCTCTTTTTTTTCAAATTGTCATAGCAAGGTTAGCTTTGTATTATTTAATCATTAAAAGGATTTTTTAAAATTACCTTAGAAGGAGGTATCAATACCCTATAAAGGTAAGATACAACGTATGTTTGGTTTTTGTGGGAATTTACTGAAAGGCGTTTTGATAAATGGTGCCATGTCATCACCAAATCAGCATTTATCCCATCATGTTGATTCATACGCATTAGCATTGATAAAATTTATTCTTGATTTATGTGTGTACCAACCATTGGGGGAAGTTTCATTTTAATGTTTCCCCCAATAATTAAGCATTTATTCATTATTCCACTGATGTGGTGCCTAGTTGTCAATAAATGATTTATCGATCACTTTTCTCGGTTTTGAGGCCAAATCAAGTACAAATGTTAATTAACAAGGTGTTTGGTTCCATAGGCGCTTATTCAATAAACGCTGCCACGTAGGCACCACTTCAACAATTTCTCTCTCTTGCCCTTCCATACACATCAAGAATGGCAAAAGTGGACTTCATTTTTTGTGCACACCTACCGTTTGAAGAAGTTATTTTTTAAAGCTTTCACAAATGGTCAAGCATTTTTTCACTGTTATGCCTGTAGAGCCTAGTGGTGCCTAATTGTCATAAATGGTTGTAATTATTACTTTTCTCGTTTTTACAAATAAATAAAATACAAACATTGAATCAAAAACATAAACGAAACCAAATAGATTAAATAAACACCCCACGGAACCAAACACATATACAATATGCTCAACACAGTAATAATTTTATATTTTTATAGATTATATTTTTTTTCTTGAGGCTTATGTTATGGATTATATATATTTTTTTCAAAGTGACTCAATCAATAGTTTTCAATCAAAAAGCTGAAGGCCTCCAAAACAGGTTCCAGGATTGTTAAAAACTCAGGTGATTGACCTTCCTATTCGGAACTCGGATTTGCTACCCATACCCAACACACAAGACTGTACTACAAATATTCCTGAGGTGTGGCTGTAGTGTCTTTGTAGGTAATATATGAACCAATTTTATTCATGCCACGTGGTGAACTGATATCAAACTAAGTAAGAGAATAAATGGGGTTGCCCAGTTTAAAGGATTTCAACTGTGAATCAACAAGTGTTCTCAACCCAATCCGCAAATTTGGATTGACCAGGCAAAATGTGATCACTCCCGTGAAAAATGCCAGCCAGATGCTGTCTGGAGTTTGTCTCCATGTTCATTTTTTTAGACAAAATGGGCTAAGACAATAGGGACAGCCCTTCCCAAATTTGACAGGGGGTGTCCCACAACGTCCCACATTACATCCCTGCCATCGGGAGATGTTTTCAATATACGGCCGGAATGTGATGTGCGACATTGTGGGGCGTAGATGTGAATTCGGCATTATAAGTAAGGGTGATCATTTCAGCCTGGCTTGGCCTGACCCGGCCCAGAAATTCCGGGATTAGGCCTGGGTTTTGCATTTAGGCCCGGTCCAGGCCTTGGCCTATATCAGGCTTGTAAATTTTAGGGTCGAGATTGGGTTTAATACTTTAAGCCCGGTATGTATATATTTAAACTTACACATTTTGTGTATAATATATACATATATATATTTATATTATATTATATATTTTATATGAAAATATTATAGATATGTATTGTTTTATATATATGAAAAACATTGGTCCAGAGGTCCAACACAGCCCGGGCCCATATAGACTTGGTCTAGGGCTTATATTTCAGACCCGGAACCTTAGGCCAGACTGGGCCTAAGCTTAAATTATAACCCTTATCATAAGTGGAAAGCCCGGCCCATGATCTCCCCTAATTATAAGCCCAGTACTACAATCCCATAGAATCTGTATTCGGCTCAGTGTTTCTCTGACTACCTTTTTGACTCCTGATTGCCTTCCGTGCCTCATTTGCCAGCCTAGCTTTTAACTTTCATGCGGTGGAATGACATGATTCAGCCATCAGAATCCAATTCTACGACTGTATTGTATAGTAAAAAAGGTATACTTATATTTTTACAAAAAAGAAAAAGTAATGTTTTAAAAATAGACCCCGCACTAAAACCATTTTAGCCAATTATTCAGTTTAAATAGATGGTTTGTTTCAAATTTAAAAAATAAAAAAATAAAATAAAAAATCATTGTTCAGGTCGAACAGGTCAATCATGCCAAGTCAATAAATCAATGACTAAATTAACAGTTTTTGGCCATAGAATGAGATTAAGGTTGAAATGGAGCCAGTAGCCTGGACGGTTCTCGGGTCCAAATCCATCACAGTTCAAAAACACTTTCAAAAAGGGTAAAATGTAAAAAACCTTCCTAGTGATGTTTTATTTTAACAAAAACCTCTCTTTAATTTTGAAAATTCTTGTAGTTACCACCTTTTCATTATTATCCAGAAAAAAACGTTTGTCTTATGCGTTGATTTTTTTCCCAAAATACCTATTTTACCCTCATGTTTATCGATTCTCAATTCAAATGAACATTTATTAAAATACACTCAAAAGAGCATTTAATTTTTAACTAAAAAAAATCCCTCGATCATATTAAAAACAGTAACGGTAACGTAATTTCATTTTCAATTATGTTGAAAGATGCTAATTAGCAAGGGCAATCTTGTAATATTCAAGTTTATGTTATTAAAACAATAATATTTTTTGGTAATAAACTCAGACAATAATGGCCCGCAGGATTTTTCAAAACGACAGGAGAAATTTTTATTAAAATGAAAAATTAGGGAGGTTTTTAGATCTAATCCGATCAGGTGTTTAGCCCAGGAGTTCGGCTCTTTAGGAACAGAGTTGGATCTGGCAACTGGCATGGCCAACACCCAAGAAGATGCCGTTCGATTCCTGAGTCCTGACCACGTGGGTAATATAGAGGAGTTAGCTTAGCTGAACTAAATGGCTGTGTTGTGTAGCCAATTATCAACTGTGGGCTAATGTATTTATGACTGCTGTGGGACGTTATTATTGATTCCACAGCATGCTAAACAGCTAACCCTACCCAATTTGTGATTTGTGAAGAAGGAAAAAAAAAAAAGGGAAAACAGCTCCTCCTATTCCCATCCCGTTTTGAACAGTAGTTAATCCGATTCTAATCTCGTTACCTAATCCCTAAATTACTTGATCATCATCCTTGATAAAATCACGGATTCCCACCAAATACCCAGACATTACCGGCCATTCCAAACAAGCACAACGGTCTTTTAGTACTTTCGCCTTCATAATCATCATTCATCAACCAACAACAACATTCTGGATTTCTGATGATAGAGTTTCAGTCAACCATAATAAGTAATGACAAAGCAAATAAAAGCTTCCAATCTCTCTCTTTCTTCACTCCACCCTTCTCTTCTCCCTCGGTCCTCTCTCATACATGGCCAGCACAGATGATGAACCCAACAAACCTTCAGCTATCTACGATTCCTCGCCTTCTGAACCTCTCCTGTCAAAACCCTACCCTTCACCTTCTATAGAGGAAAACCAGAATGACTTGATCGAGTCTGAGCAGAATAACTACCCTCAGATCACCTTCAACTATGGACCTAGACACTTCCAAGATCTTCCCTTTATGTTCCTCTTCATTCTCTTCGTTCTCTCCACCTTCGCTTTCGGCATTTTCTCCGTTGCTCACCGGAACCCTAACTCTTCCAACGTCTCATCCTTCGTCTACGACTCCAATACCAGCTCTTGTGTCAAGGAATCCTTAACTTCTCCCCACCCAGAATTTTATCAAATTTTGACTTTCCCATCTTTCTCCAATTATGCTTCGTCTTCCCATCTTTGGAGGGATTTGACGTGGACCCTGGTAATTACTTTTGTCCTCAGTGTGCCTTTTGTTCTGGGACTCCTTTGGTTACTCAGGCATTATGCCAAGCAGATTGTCTATGTTTCTCTTCCCTTCTTTGTTGTAATTCCCATCTTCTTCAATGTCTTCTGGTTTGTAGCTTGTACGGTTAGCTCTAGTTGTAGCGGTGCTTTCCCGCTGGCCTATCGGATACTGGTGCTTGTATTCATTTTCCTAATTATCGCTATCATTGTATGGATAATTGTGGCCAATTGGCACCGAATTGGGCTGACAGTGGATATCATTGAGGTTGCATCCTATGCGCTCGCGAGGAACCTCGGGTTGTTTGGGGTCCTACCATGTCTAACTCTGGGGCTTTTGGCTTATTTCGTGCCAATCGTTGTTTTCCTGGTTTTTGCGCTGCATAATGGGAAGATTGAGCCGCATGTAAGTAAAGGATCAACGGAAGGGTATTCTTGTGTTTGGAAGCAAGATAGTTGGGTACCCGCGTACTATACCTTAGCAATTGTTACGATGTTGTGGTCCGCGGCGGTTATGGTGGAAGCCCAAGTTTATGTGATTAGCGGGACTATTGCTCAGTGGTACTTCTCAAAGGATGATTCTACTCGCAAACGGAGTATAAGGAGTTCTCTGAGGTAAATTCTTGCTCTCTTGCCACCATAATTTAAAACCTGTTCATGGCAATCGTATGATAAGAACTCTGAACTTGTATACTCTATGTATTTGAAAAACCTAGTAACCCATTCGTGAGACATCTCTTGATTACTTGAGAAGATTCTTGCATGCGTTTTGAAGCTTACCTGAGTTCTAGATGATCGTCTACATAGTTAAAAGAATTTTAAGATTGATGGCATCTGGATGTATTATGAACTTGCTTAATACCTCCTTTTTTTTTATTCTTTTAATCTATTATAGTTCTCCTTTCAGTTCATCAGTTGTTCACCTTTACAATGAAAAGCCTTAGCTCTTCTTAAGGCCTAAAGTAATTGTGAAGATCCAAGGAGAAATAGAGAATGAAAGGGATTTGGGGAATGAGCTATTTAAGAAATTAATTAGGAAGGGTGTCTGAGTTGCCCAAGTGCCTTAAAACAAGTTGTTAGGGGCACTCCTATGGAGGAATGCCTGGGTTCAAAGTTCAAACTCAGGGTGGGCACCCTAGTGAATCAATAGTTTCATTGGGTAAGAGTAAGACTGGTGTTAACAGTTTTTTTGCTTTGACTTTTCTTATGTAGCTAAGCTCAGCTGTTAGAGTAAGAGATTGTGCTCAGAAAGGAAAAGGGATCTGAGCCATCCTTGGTAAAGATCTGGATTTAAAAGATTTTGCTGCTTTTATGTAGGTCAATTGTGATATGTATTTCTTGTTGGAGCATAGTTGAACGATTTGGGATGGTATTTTTGGCTATGAAATGGCAGAGGTAGCGATTTAAGCCTGATGGGAACATCTTTTTTTATTTTTTATGGGAACATCTTATCTAATAGGAAGATGAGCAAATTTGAAACAGCATATTCTATGGATTATGTTGTCAGTAATGGTCCTTGCATTCAAGCATTAGCACCACTTAATCAGACCAATATTTTAAAACGCAGAGGCCCGATACAAGGCATTCCACTATCTGGAGGCGTGAGGAGTAGTAAATTCAAGAGGGGTAAGCCTCCCGAGCAGAACTGCACAAGGATGCCTAAGCCTCCTCAAGAGGAGGAGTTCTTTTCTTTTCTCATTTCCTTCCTTTCTGCTTGAGACAGCGTGTGCGCTCTTTTAATTCCCCTCCAGCTGATATTATTCATCTATTGTGGGAGGTTATATCCAGAATTCCAGATATGATCAGTGGCATAGGTATAGTAGTTTGTAATTCCTTTTTTTTTCTAATGGATAAAAAATGATTTAATGGTTTCCGTAGCCAGCATATTTTCTTTTCCCTGTGCTACTAGGGGGCTCCTTACATAATGTTGCATTATGTGAAGGATGGTTGCTCTGACTCTGATACTATGGCTGAAGTTGCTCTGATACCATGTTACCAGCCATAGAAGAGATCTTGAAGAGAAATGGAGAAGAAATGACACAGGTTTAGGGTGCCAAAGTCAACTCAACTGGAAGCTCCCCAATCTATTATTGTTTCAGGGAAGTCATAATGAAAGGTAATATGACATAATCCTACACCTAAAGAACAGAAAATAAAAAACATATTTCAATAGAGGCTAACATCTAGAAGTTGGTCAGATAATTTTCTCATTCAAATAAGTTAGGAAAATAAATGACACAAAGTAGTGTCCTGTCCAAATGACATTCACATGGAAGCAACTAGCAGGCTACACTCTGAGTTAGGCCACTAGCTGGTGAACAAATATGCATTGGGGTATTGAAGTGGATTTTGTAGTGTGGGTTTTATTGCTGAAGAAATATTTGTATTATAAACTGAGGTATGGAAAGGAGCCAAAGATTTCATGTTATGGAGTTTATGACTGACAAGGGGCATTTTATAATGCCAACCTGATAATTTGAAATGAGCCTTTTTATCAGTATAGCTATTATTGGTTCAACTTGATTTTTTGAACATAACTTTTTTTTTTTGAAAAAGGTAAAGTATTAATTAAAGAAAAAGGTATAGAAGGTGTGGACAAAGTGGTTTGATGAGAATTAGCATTAGCTCCAAGTTGTGGACTTTTTTTTTTAAAAAAGGCAAAGTATAGTATATTGAAATAAAACCTGATCAAGGTCCTTTGTACAACGAGAAACTGTACAAGACTACCCACTATGGACCCCCAAAAAAATCTACCCTCAAAAAGGAAGAAGAAAAAGTATAATTTTTTTTTTGATCAATAAGAAAAAGTATAATTTCTAAATACGTTGTGAACAGACAACCAACTCTTTAAGAACCCAAGTTGTGGACATTTTTAATGATTGTAATATAGTTACTCTACCACCAATCTGGCATTGGATCACAGATTGGGATGGCAATTTTCCCCATTTCCCCGATCCTTGCGGGGACCCACCATGATGGGGTGGGGATGGGAAAATTTTCATCCCCGGTGGCGGGGACGAGGAGAGCACTCCCCACCCCAATCCCTGCCCCATGGGGACCCCCGCTATATATATATATATATATATATATGTGCATATATGTCTATGTATATATGTATGTATGCATGTTAATATTTTTAAAAATATGGTTGAATATATTTGAATATTTTTTAATAGGGTTGTAAATTTTAACTATTTTATTTTTAATTATTTAAATAAAATTAAAAACAAAAACAAAATGGTTGACATTGTGCAATTCCAAACACCAATAAGTGCTTCATGGTTGACTTTGGAATACTCCCCATCGTGGGGACAGGGATGGGGAGTGGCCCCCCCGTTCCTGTCCTGCCTCGTTGCCATTCCTAATCACAGAGTATTCCAAAGTTCCATGCAATCAGCATGGGTGTCTAAGCCAGGCACTATTGTGCAATTATTTACTTGTTTGAAGATTGCTTGGCTTCAGTACAGTTAAACTCATGGAGCTAAGATGTTTTAGTGTATGTTTAGTTTTATAGATAGGTGGTTGGATTCATAGTCTACAAGCTTTTTTGGTGGCTGTCAACACAAATTTCTTGTCTAAAAAATCCAAAGACAGAGGAAATGATGACAAATACCTTTTTTTATCAGTAGAAAGTAATTTTATTAATGCAACTTAATGATTACAAGCAGATTGGTGTAAAATCCACCCCAAAAGAACAAGAGTTTATAGATTTGCCCAAAACAACTGTTGTCTTAAGGCCCCTTGTTTGGCTAGAATGTCTACCATTCCATTTGTTGTTCTTCTCACTCATTTAAAGGAAACATTTAGCCCCTTATTAAGTCCCAATCTCCCTAAATTTGTGCCAGAAAACCCAAGGGATTTGTGTATTGCCTCTTGTCCAAGAGAGGACCACCCGAGAGTCCCCTTCCACTTCTAGATTGTGGAAACCATACTGTTTAGCAAATTTTAAGCCTTGCAATAAGCTAACCATTTCTGTTGTTAGTGCATCACCTGCTCCAGTGGTCCTGAGTACAAAGCCACCACTCTTCCTTCATGACAAATATCAATTTTTGATATTTAATAGAATGGAATACAGATCTCTGAGATTTAATTTCTTTTTAATGAAAAAACCTTTGATTCTTTTCTTTGGAGATTTGCACCTTAGAGATCTCTGTAGAGGAATACCAAGGATTTTTTTTGAGTTGGTGAAGAACTTTGAGGCTTCTAGTGATGAAGAATTCTTGAGGTCTTTTGTAGATGAAGGTCTCTGGAGCTCTCTTCTTGTTCTCTCAAAAATCTCTTTGGGTTGGAAAAAGGTCTTTTCCTTGTGAATGAGATCCTTTTTATAGAAGTGTGTTGAGAGAGTCTTAGATGGTCTTAACCTTTCTAGCGAAAGCTTATCTGTTGGAGTTTCAGCTAATCACCTTCAACTTACAGGGACCATGTGATTAGGAGACAAGATTTTCTCCTTATCTTTAAGAGTTAACGTTAGAGTAACCATCTTGAATAGGATTTGCTCAACTGGATCTTTTTATCTAAATTTCTTTCTAGATAACTCAGGAAGTTTAGGGACTCTTTTAGTGGATCCCACTTGAGTCCATTGAGTCAAAACCTTGTTTTGTAGAATTGGGCTTGGCCAAGGCCCACTTTTGGATTTGAGTTACTTTTAAGTCTGGGATCCCACCTTAAATTTTAAGATCTAGCCAATTTATGATGTTCACATGTGGCACAAAATTTTTTGTCTATAGTAGCATTTGTTGTTATCATTTTTAAACTATGAGAATAATGTTGGGTCACTATTTGCCTTATCTCTTTGTCCACAGTGGTGCCCAATCTTTGACGATAGAATGCTAGGTAGTACCTTCTATGGGTTTCATATATTGAAATGTGGGATTTAATGCGATTGTACTTGGATAGTTCGTTACAAGGGAGAGATTGAGGAGGATGTCACCCATAGAATTAGAGCAAGATGGGCAAGATGGAAGGGTGCATCTGGAGTTTTATGTGATTGGAAAATACCACTTAGATTTAAAGGAAACTTCTATAAAACAATTGTAACAGTAGCTATGCTGTATGGGGCAGTATTGGGCAGTCAAGAAAGATGTCCGAAAAATGAATGTGGCAGAAATGCATATGCTGAGATAAGTGGAAAAGCTAGAAAGGATACGACCAGGAATGAAGTCATTCAAAGGAACCTAGGAGTAGCTTGAATAGGTGATAAAGTGGGAGAAGTTAAAATTAAGATGTTTTATTCATGTGCACAGAAAAACATCGACTGCACCAGTAAGAAGATGTGAATTGTTGCAAGTTGAAGGGGCTAGAAGAGCTAGGGGTCGAGGTAGACCAAAAAAGAACATATGGGTAGAAGTAGTAAAAAATAATTTAATTGCCAATAATTTAACAATGGATATAGCATTAAATAGAATGGAATCGCAAAACAGGATTCATGTAGCTGACCACATAAACTCGGGATAAGGCTTAGATGATAATGATGGTGATGATTATACCTAGATACCTGTACAAGCTTAGCATACTGGTGTCAGACACGATACTTACCAGATGCTGTGTTGACACTTTTATATGTATTCTATGGCATTAACACTACTAAAATATGTAAAATGGTATGTTTTAACTTTAACAAATTATACTAAAAAGAAATTTGTATTTGTTAGAATTTTAGTTAAGTTTGGCAAGATATATCTTGAGAAGTGACATCTAGATTCAGAAAACTAGATATAAAAGCATGCTACAAGTATATTACTATATTACTTGTACCTTTATCTCTGTCCAGGGTTTTAGGAAATGTCGTAAATTCTGCTATTTATTGCAAGTGTTTATGCACATGAATGCTCATATGACATAACCTTAGGATGTCCAATTCATATGCTAGAACCATAGGTTTGGTAGCAAGGCCAATGTTTTAGAAACGTATGCACAGTATGATGTCTCAGACACAGTGTAAACTTTTGTACCATATCCAAGGGAAAATCTAATAATATTCTTGTTGGGGCCAGAGTAAATGTTTCAAGAAAGCTAGAAGGTATGCTTGCCAACATTATTTACTTAATTTATCTTTATTGATGTGCATTCGAATATAAAGGGCTATGTCTAAGTTGAATTGTACTATTAAAACGGATATCCTTTTTTTTGCCAATATTAAAATGATGGATATTCATTCTAGAAGTTATGGCTAAATGGGTTTCTTAGAATTTTTCTTACATGTTTTCAAAAAAAAAAACTAATTTTCTTTTGTGGTTCCAAATGGATTACCATAAAGTCTCATTAAGTCTTGTGAATCCAAATTTTCCATTTTCGGTCAAATTCTATTAGAATGCTAAGTTGTGACTAGGTGATTCACTTGCCTAAGCATTAGACATAGGCCTAAATGCATTAGGTTGGTGCTTCGTGACAATACCTTTCCCAATAGATTATTTGAAGCATGACAATTGTTGCTTATGTTCAGCCGACTAATTTCCAATAAGCATTCTGATTGAACTTGAGAACTAAGCAAAAACATGAACCAGACCTCTTTTTCTTAAAAGCCACATATAGGCATAAGAAGTTTGCGACTAATATGAGGCATATGCCTGCCACCTAACTGAATCACATCTCACAAATGTTGAGAACTGAATTAAACTTTAAGCACTGCACAGATACTTATCATTGCTAAACAAATACTAGTTATTGGCATTGCACTGGTAAAGGGTGATTTATTGCAAGTTGAATGCACTAAATGAAGAAGGTGAAGGCTCCATACTCAACCTAGATGTTGAAACCTACATACATTCTTTTCCATCATTTAAAAAATTAAAAGAAAAATGATCACGTTCTTCCATTCCGATTGGAGACTCTATTGTCTGTTAAAGGATGAAATGATTGAGGACATGGGGGACTTGATAGCTCATTCTTCAAGACACAGGGAAAGTGAATAGAATAGAATAAAAAATATCCTAAATCCATGGAAGGGAAGTCAATCCTTGTAACCATAACTACACAGGCAGGATGGAGCTGATAATGAGTTGCAATATAACTTATTCAGCATACCTTACTACTACAGGGACCTAAGAACCTCTAACAGTGGAACCTAAGAACCTCTAACAGGCATTGCAGAAAACATCTACAGAGGTTATAGTCAAGTGGAGTAAATATTAGCAAGAAAGCCAAAAGCATTATTTATTTCGGAAAAGTACGAACAGGCCTAATGCAGATTTCTGATTCCCACTGCAAAGCTATAAACATTCAGAAGGTCCAAAAACCACACTCTATGCACCCATACCCGCCCGTGAATTGGCATCAATTCCGAGCTGGCACCTACCCCAAATGTACTTTGAGCCTACAAATTCTGACCCTGGGGTTATCGGTCATTCTCCCTATTTATTTCTCATTTTTAATCAGTAGGTGCTTATATGCAATGATGATTTTGAAATCTGTTTTTTTTTTTTCCATAGAAATATGGATTTGTGTTATCAAGGCAATATGTTTCTCTTGCTCACACTTCATATGTCATTTGAATGTTTGCCGGTTCATCAATGCTATCTCTTTTTCCTTGGATGAAGTTCTATTGGAGGTGGTTAGGTGGCATTGCCAGCCTAGCTGGAGGGATCCAATTCTATAGTTCTTCGTTCTTTTTCTTTTTTTGATAAATTATAGTTCTTCACTCTTTCAATCTTTTTTAATAAAATTTCATGCTATACATCAAAACTAAAAAGTTGTGTTGGAAGGGTACAACATAAAATGATTGTTTTGGCTGAATTGAACTATAACAAACTTGACCTGTTCACCCTTACTGTTTGTGTTGCAAAACATCACAGAAATGCTTTTGGTCCCTCCTTCGGAACAGTATGTTTCTCAGGCTTAATAATTGCAGCAGTTCGTGTTGTGAGAGCTTCTGTGGATAGCGCAAGACGAGAAGATGCTCCTACAGGGATAATGAACCTTATGCTCCGTTGCTGTGTTAATGCATTATTGTCAGCAGTTGACTTCGTCAACAAGTTTACCATCAATTTTGTTGCAATTACTGGAGAAGGTTATTGTTCTGGTGCAAAGATGACATATGAGCTTCTCAAACGCAATCTTCTTTCTCCTGTTTTTGTTGAAACTGTCTCTACTCGCATCCTGGGAGGGATCATTTTTGTTCTCTCAGCAGTGTACGCAATTGTGGTGAGTAGTGCCTCTATGGTCAATCTTTACTCCGAGTTTTACTGGAATAATTTCCTCTGAGCTTTGTTATGATCCTAAATCATCCGATCAACTGTCCAAATATGGAACCTTTGATTTCCCTGGCATCCCTGAATTCTGGATTCTTCTAACTTTTTAATCTGTTTAAACAGGTTTGTGCCATTCTAAAGGCAGCCAGCAATCTTGGCGTAGATTCATACTTAGTGGCAGTTCTCGCATGGGTGCTGCTCATAGTGGTGCTGGGCTTCTTTGTGCATGTGCTGGAAAATGTGATTGACACCGTGTACGTGTGTTATGCCATAGATAGAGACAGGGGAGAGGTTTTTAAACAGGATGTCCATGAGGTGTATGTCCACCTACCCATCAGTAGAGACAGTAGGCCTTCCTTGGCCACCAGAACCCCATTTGTATGAATACGTGTTCAATTATTCTGTTGTTTTACTCTGTCTGGCCACTTGGCCAATTGTGTGTATACCTTCATTTTATACATTGTACAATGTTTGAGGTTGGTTTGTTAATTTGTTACTGATGCAATAAAAAGGTTGATCCATTAATTTAGCCTCGTTTCCATCAAGTTGATAGATACTGCTCTGGTTCACCGTAGTATCACAAGGTGAAAAAAAGCAGCCTGATCCATTGCTTTGTGAGCGGTTAAACCCTAAAGAACAGAGTACCGACGCAAGGTCAGGGGCAGGTCTTGTTTCTACTACTCCAAACCACCACCTACTTATTTGGTTAGAGTTTCTCTTGCTAACCTGTGGCTGGTTTCTCAAATATTGCAATTACAGTGTGCAGTGCTTCAATTAGAGCGTGTAATGCCAATAGAAGATGGGTTGTGCATTACATTTTCACACGACAATAATCCGTGTGCTACTTTCATTACTATAAATTAGAATTTAGTAACATTGTAGGGATATTCCATACCCATGGAATGCACACTTCAAAAAATGCAAACAGGAACCTTACCTTTTATGGGCCCATATAATGGGCTTTTAAGGCCCACAATGCTTCAGTCTTGTTGAACAGAGAGATTGGGTTGGGCCCCTTTATATTTGCATTTTGCTAAGCTAAAAGTATCCCAACTCCCAAGGTGTACCAAAAAAGCATAGATCATAGAAGTAGAATCACTAGAGAGAGAAAAAAAAAAAAAAAGAATATTATTTTTGAACAAGAGACCAGCTGCCCAGGTTCGGTTGTTGTTTAATTGTTTATCTTTAGTGCGTTGGACGGTTGGACCTTATACATTTATAAGTATATGTATGTTTGTGTGTATTTAATAACATTTACAACAAGAAACTAATAAATTACAGTCCAAAATCATGACTCGTGACTAAGAAAAATATGAAAAACAACATAGGGACAAACACAAATATGAATCAATTATCAGTTGCAAAAGGGATACAGTAGATGGTGACCACATGCATCACACTTGCCGCCTGCCGATTATTTATTCCTCCACCATTTCGGAAAAAGCAATTAAGGACCCTTAATCGTCTCGGGAATGCAATTTCAAAGATATGTCGGAATTCGGAAACTCGGAATACACTTGCAAATAGTTTGGCTCTTTATAGTTGAATTTGAAACAAACATATGCGCATGTGTGAGAGGGAGTCTAGTGATGTATAAATACATATCTCTTACTAATTTGTATTAATCGGTCCAAAATCGTTTTAGATGGTGTTCGGCATCGATGTTGATTTTTCAGAAATTAGTGTTATGTTGGATTTATATCAGAAATTGAAGAATCAATGATTTTTTCCTGGTTTGATTAGATTATACCGATTTCAAGGAAATTAGCAAAAAATTGATCATTGAAATCATCTTGGGCATGGGGATCACCACATTCAGTGATTCCCAGATTTTCAGGCGATTCCGATTTTTGTTGGTTGAGGTGGCACCCTATGTAGTAGGGGCAAGAAGGTGTTTTAGTGCTTCAATGAAAAATAATCACTCTTGAAAATCAATACCAAACAATCTCAAAAGTAATTCCTAAAAAAATCAACTGACATGGAGGAAATGATACCAAATAACAAAAAAAAAAAGAGTGGTTTTTTGAAAATCACTGATTTTCACAAAATCAGGTGTGAGGAATCATCATTAATGACAAACATCACCTTAATAGAAATAATAAAGTTTTCAAATTTCAAACAACCTCTAAATTTATGGATGAATATTTGAATATGATACAAAAACCTAATAAATCCTACAAATACATTAATAACATAAATTTGTAGATTTCACTTTCACTCCTTCCATGAAGGACAAAATGATCCTTTCAAGTGTTTCAATGACTTATTGAGGGGATCCAAAACACGATCAAACTCTATGCAAAGTGTAAAAGAACATCTCCCCATAAAATTAACATACATAAACGGGACAGTGTTTTAAGTCCAAGCTCAGTCCTGAGGTGTTCTAGGTCTTAGGAGGGAATAAATTGGAATTCAATCTTACATCTTAATTGGTTATAAGTAAGATATATTCACATAAGGAACACATCAACAGTTTGTGTGAAATATTGTCTTTTGGGTGCTGTTGAAGCTGAATTGAAGGCATTCTTCATGTCATCATGTGTTGCAAGAGACCAAAATTTTAAGAAAATGGAGCTAAAATCTGACTTTCTGACCATTGTTTTGGCTATTAAAGGCGCACAAAATGGTCTCCATGGGTAATGCCAATATTTTTGGACTCTTGTACTAATTTTGCGGTTGTTTGGTATTGATGATGTTTATAAGATAAACGTTTTATATGATTTTGTATTGAAAAATGAGATAAAATTTGCTTTAAACGTTTTGTACGATGTTTTTGCCGTATAATCTAAACAGTAAAAATGGTCTAAAAATGAATAAATGTCAAATTTAACATTTTTTAATAAACGGCTCTCACGATTTTCAAGAGAATAAACGGCTCAACCAAGTAATTTTTTTAACTTTTTTGTTAAACGTGTTTCTAATGATGAACTGGCACCGTTTCTCTGAAAAACTATTTGTCGCGAGGAGTTGGGGCACTCTTCAGACAAGCTCTCTGTTAGACAGGCCTATGCCCTGCTGGACCAGTTTAATGTCTAACCCATTTCAGAGGACCACAGAAAAAGCTACAGAATTATCTAGAAACTTCTAATCCCTCCCAGATTCCAAACTATTCTTTCGAGAATTGTCAAGAACTTTGTGCCCTGTTAAAGAAAATCTCTTTGCTGACTCCTGTAATACTCAATGTAGTCTCTGTTATCGGGGCATGGAATCGATTAACCATCTTTTCTTTCATTGCCCTTTTGCTAAAGCTATCTTATTTGTGGCTCCTTTGAATATTTTCCTTCAATCCTTGTTCCAAGGTTTGTGGTTACAATGTGTAATTGCTCTTCTTAATTGCATCCCCGTTAGGAATCTGATAAATTTGATTTTAAGCTGGTTTGCCTTGGCCTTATTATTATTTGATTCGAAGGAGGAAGCAGATGAACACTATTTCCGCCCCTATTTGATATTTTTTAAAAAAGTTAGCCTCTTTTAATAATTATGTTAAAAATATTATTTTTATTAATATTAAGGACTAAAATTATCCTTATCGACTATAATCCATAGACTATGCTCGCAATAAAAAATGCTTTAAAGACCATCAAATTTCTGTTAATTGGGTAATCATGAAAGTTAACAGCTGGTTTGATTCACTTCAAAATCCTGTGTCTGAAGTCTGAAGTCTGAACTCCGAAGGTAGCATGGCTGTTAATCAACAACCAAAATATAACCTCCCACTTCAACCTCATACTCAAATTATTTTATTCATAGGTGGAGTTTATGTATCTACCAGAGCTTATATGTTTGGTGTAATTTGCTTATCTAATTCTCTCTCATGTTTAGGTATGATGGGCGGTAGACCGAAGAGTTGGAAGCTGAGCTTAGGGCAATTCTACAAGGAGTTCCTTTTGCAAGGCAGTACTCTTCAGGGTATTCATATTCTTATCTGCACGGACTCTGCATTGGTGATTCAGACTATTCAAGATAAAGCTTCTATTCACTGATCTTGCCTCTGGCTTTTGCAAAAAACCAAACTTATTCCTCAATCTCTCAACTCCTTTTCTTTTTGTTATGTAAATAGAAACTACAACATCCGAGCTCACTCGGTAGCCCATAGAGCCAAGACTGTAAAATCAGGATATGTTTATCTTATCAAATTATTTATCGTGGGTTCCTGATGTAAAGAACTTTATTTCATTATCAGTATTATAATTTATATCGTTTAGTTATAAAAAAAAAAAAGTGTTTGGCTTATGCATTTTAAGCTATGCTTGGTTTGAATGAAGAGATAGAAAAGCATATACAAATTCCCTACCTTTTCCTTCAAATCAAACATAGTTTTATGGAAGCCACTTAAAGAAAAGAAAAAAAAAAATTGTGCTTTAAAGCACTTTACCAAACACTCAAATCTAATCTCTCTCTCTCAAAAAAATGGCATTTCCAAAAAGCACTTAAAAAAATAGATTTTTAAAGCCTGTTTAAATTAAAAAGCATGGTGTCATCTACTCCTGTATGCTGTATCTCTTATGGAGAGATGGGCAGCTCACCACTCCATGAAAGAATTCTATACAATTCATCTATTGAGCCACCGATGACATGTTGAGATGGTCATCGGTGTCCCAACAAAAAGAAAAGACAAGATCTTTTTGACTTTTTTTTAATGACATAGGATCAAATCCGTGGAATTGCAGGTTCTTCGGTCGGTGGACGTAACATACACCCTTCTCCATCCTCTTTTGCGTCCCCACTAACTAATGAGCAATACGTAATGCAATGAGAAAAACATAACAAAACTACAAAGCTTGAGTTCATCATGGCAGTCCATAACCCACTTACTTATATGAAGCTGGTCAGTTGGTATCTCTTCAAAATAACAAAATTTCAAAGCACATGATCACATTAATGGAACTGTATAGATGGTGGGCCCATTGTACATCTTGCTCTGTCCTTTTCTTAATTGAGAAAGGATTAATTCCAACTTAACAGCTACTGGGATCAATTATTTTGTTCCATACCAACCATTATTCAAGTGAGGGATTGAGTGGTTGCGGACCATATGCATTTTATGACTGACATAGAACAAATTTTTTTTTTTTTAGGGTTTAATGTGGATGAAGTGATGAAAGCTTCACAGTCCTTCAAGTTTATATCTGTGAGATCACATCTTCACCCCACAATGCCCCCACAGCATATCCCCGCTATGTATTGGGAATATCTCTTGATTATGATATCATCAGAACTAGTACTATTATCAGGAGATGTTCCTAATACATGGCAGGGATATACTGTGGGGCGGAGATGTCAACTCCATATCTGTTTCTGTGTGGAAGCCTTTGCCACTAGGTTTTGTCGAGTTTGTGTCTGCTATCTATGTTGAAGTTGTGACAATTAATGTTGTTTTGCTGCTAGAGAGTTTGGTGTGGTTAATTTAATTGTTGAAAGTGACTCTCAATCTCTAATTAAAAGCTCTTACAAGTAGAACTTCCGACTGTCCTCCTTAGATTTAGCTTATTTTACTGATATTTTCTCATTTGTTTATCGCTCTACCAA